ATTTCTCACAGGGGAAAAAAAAAAACCCCAACCCAGAAAAAGTCATTTATGTGGAAGACTATATGAGAAAATGCTTAACGTTCACCGTCTAAGTGAAAAGGGCAGGATATAAAAATTGTACATGTTTTAACATCAATGGTGGGGAGGGAACTGTGGGTGTGCATGGATTAAAGGTGATTTCAAGTATCTAAAAATTTTATTTTCTGAGTTTTTAATAATGCACTTAAGAAACCAGCTTCACGGATGTACAGATACAGTAAAGGTCAGAGCAAGTTTGGCAACTACCCTGAGAGTTCATTCACGCTCATCTGGGCAAAAAAAGACCTGTGTTCTTTGCAGAACGGCCAGATGTAATAGTTTGCTGATGCTTTAAGGGTTGTGCTCAGATAAATGTTTATTCACTCTATACACAATGTCATAAAACAATTTTACTGATATTTTTTGTCATTGAAATTATATTTTAATTCATTTTAAATTATAAAACTAATAATCATTCTTTCTGAAAACATCAAACAGCCCAGAAGTATATGATGGAAAAAGAACAGGTCTTCTGCCTGACTCTAATCCCACCTTCTAGAAATCACCATGACTAGCTTGATGAGTAACTATCCAAGCTTCCTTCTATGCCTATACAGACCTATGGAACCAATTTCATACAATTTGATTATTTTACCTGATATCAAGACATTCAACCAAGCCCTCACAGATAGATATTACTCAATTTCAATAGCCATATAGTACTCCATTAATGGATGCATCTTCTAAAATTAATTCTCCTACTAGTTACTTTTTTTGGTTTTTAACTTTTTGCTATTACAAATAATGCTGTAATGAACATCTTTGGAGATATATCATTATGCATGTGTATATTAGTGGTTTTTAAGAATGTATTTCTCAGAGCAGGATTGCGGATTTTGCAGGTATACATACTCATAATTCTGATAGCTACTGCAAATTGTCCTATACAAAGGTAGTATTTTACCCACCCACCAATAGTGTCTGAGAGTCCTCATCTTCCTACACCCTTGTAAGCCAATCTTTGGATAGAATTAATCTTTGAAATTTGTCAACTGAAAGAAGGAAAAAAATCATACTACTTCTGTAAGCACGCAAATGACAACCCATTTTTAACATTCTTTTGTGGCTCCTAAAACAGATGTGAGATCTGTAAACCAACATAGGGGAGAGAGAAGGTTGTTTCATCAATCAAAGGTGAGCCACGTCCAGAGCATGGCTCTTTTCTGTCACACAGATTTGTAAGAAATCTGACTGTGACCTGATTTTAAAAAGCTAGCAAAAATTGTCATTACAGTTGTGTTTTGGGGAGCTCAATCCTACCAGCCATTTTGCTGCACATTACTGTAACACTGGGTGTAACTTCATTATCTAGTGAACATTTTAGTTTTTTATATACCATTGAAGCAGTTTAGGGTTTGAGGTTCTTTCACTCTTTTTGAGGTTTAATCTTAGCCTTAGAGCTATTTTTAGTTTATATGTGAAGTAGACTAATAAAAAAAAGTTCCTAATGCAGTTTATTATACAGACATGTCATTAGACAATTAATTACATTAATAAAAAGAAAACCCTTATGAATGCCATCTAGAAAAAGTAGGAGACTTTTAAAAAATAAAATAAAACATGCCCTGCTTCTTCTTCTAAAGTTCAGAAAAAGTCTCTAATTAATGTAAAAGAAAAATCACTTCAAGTCCTTAAACCCCCTAAGATTAAGCCCCCTAAGTTATGCAGTTGCTATCAAGAGTTAGAGCTGACACTTAATCACAGCAGAGTGTTATATTCAATTGTGACACCCAGAGCTTGTTGTTTCAAGCTACAACCAAATGAGAGTTTGGTTTCACACACTTAGCATGGTCAGAGGAAAATAATCGCTAATTTATTCTACAATGATTTCCTGACTGTCTCCTGTGTTTAAATGTCAGCTCTACATGGACCCTCCCGGACCATCTCATTTGCAGTATCCATGCTTCAGAACCTGCCGACAGGGCCAGACCACAAGGCTGAACCCTCCAACTCCTCCGTGCTGGTGGGGAGTCTCAGAGATACAAACAGAAGAACACAAAGGCAGTGGGAATTGCTGTTGCGTCTTAAGAGAAGGAGGTGTGGCGTTGGCCACGGAGTGGATGCTGGCCTGGGGCTTGCACACAAACAACCACACATCTGCAGAGGCGTTCCTGACATGGCTCCAGCAGGCTGGCATTCCCCATGCCTCTGGGGAACTTGCCCTGTAATCAGACGACGTATACTTATGGAAGGCTTGCTCATTTTAATGCTTAGGAAAGGAGAGCAAATACTTTGGGAAAAAAATCAAATTCATTTTTTTTTCTTCCCGCCCCACTCTGCCCAAATTTATTTTTAAGTTTAAGAAAGTTGAGTATTGCATTATCTATCCCATTCCTCCCTTCCATAATATATAGATGACTGAGAATAGGCATGTTTCAAAGACTTCAAGAAAAAGCCTCTCATTATTACACCCAGAATTTGCCATAATTTATGGCCATTGCCATTTCATCAAGAAGGAAAACCAGATCATCTAGGTTTCTTAATTGCTTGACCTTATTTGCCTTAAGCAAGGCCCTGTATCAAGGAAATCAAACTCCTGTTAATATTAGACTAATTCCATTTAATTTTAAACAGACTATACCATAGTTCTAAAGGACAACTCACTATCCACAATACAAGTGTCTAATTGTCTCCTGGCTCCTACTCATTTATAATTTGGGTCACCCTTGCTTACCTCATACAAGTTCCAATATTCATCTACTTAACCAGAAGAGCCCTAGTGACTGGGAAAGGGCACTTCTCTCCATCTGCAGGGGGACAACACAGCTAATGCCACCCAAAGGTAAGTAGGGGCCAGCCAACGTGTCTGGGTGAGAGCTTGTTGACACAGCTTAATCACATGCCTCAATGATCTCCTGGAGTTTGTTTCTTTAATACCTTCCCTAAAAAAAGCATGAAGTACCCCACTATAAAGGTACTTCATGCTTTGTATAGAAACCATAGAAAAGCTGGGGGAAAAAAGCAAACTCAGGGTCACCATAATCATGTCCTTTGCAAATCCATAGTTAAGGTTTGTTTGTTTGCTTTTCTTTTTATTTTTTGAGAGACAGTGTCTCTCTCTGTCACTTAGGCTGGAGTACAGTGGCACAATTATGGCTCACTGCAGCCTTGAACTCATAGGCTCAAGCCATCCTCCCACCTTAGCCTCCCAAGTAGCTAGGACTACAGGTATGTACCACAATGCCCAGCTTATTTTCTGATTTTTTGTAGAGATGAAGTCTCACTATGCTGCCTAGGCTGGTCTTGAATTCCTGGCCTCAAGCAATCTTCCAGCTTTGGCCTCCTAAAGTACTAGGATTACAGGTGTGAGCCACTATACTTGGCTTAAGGTTTGTTTCTTTTGGTCTTTTTCTGATGTGCATCTGTCTATGCAAGGCATATTCAACTATGTTCATTCTGCAGATCCAGTTCCTTGGCCTGCTTTTTTCTTTTTAAAAACTTCTATCATGAGCAGTCCCTTATGTCACTAAATAATTTTAATTTTTTTAATAGCTCCAATAATATCTCATCAAATATTTCATTTTTTTTTTTTTATCATTCACCCTCTGCTGGACATTTAAGCGAATTTCAATTTCCACTACTATAAATAATATAGAGATCATCTATATCTGATCATTTTCTTGAGACAGTATTTTAGCAAAGGAATTACTGAGTCAAAGGGAAGAGCTTTTTAAGGCATTTGATACTTCCTGCCAAACTGCTTTCCAGAAAAGTTGGGCCATTTTTATACTTACTCTTAGGTTCGTTTAAAAAATGGAAGAGAGATCTACTCTCCCTTTTTGGCAAAGGGGCTCAATAAATTAGGACTTTATGACTTGCCTCAGGCACTGACTGATGATTTTGTGTTTTTATGGACAAAAAAATCAGTATTCACTGTGAGGAAAAAGAAAGCAGGAACCAAGCCATAATAAAGCATCCAAGTACTGCTCGTGGAAATTACTTAGACATGTCACCTGATATACAGTCAAGAATAGGCTGCAATTTTCCATTTTCAATGATCTACGAGGGAGGTGGAAGAAGGTTTTCTAAGAATGTGCTTTGAACTTAGGGGAAATCTAAACATGAATCCCTGCAGAATCCCCTGCAGAGAGACGAGCAGTAGAGATTCTATGCTGACAAAGTGGAGCTCCTGCCTCATCCCACAGTGAGAGACTCCGGCCATCACCCTGGACATTGGTTCAAGCCTGCAGTGACAAAGCCACTGCATCTGCAGTACACATTACGGCTGTGACAATTAAGCCTGAAAGATAGCATTGTGGAGTAAGCCCGAATGCATTAGAACTTGTCTAACAGTCCCCAAATCTCTGAGTCACCCAATTGTGGCCTGGGAACAGGCCTCACACAATCCTCACTGTTAGGGAACAGGAGAGCCTGGCGTGACCTTGTCAATTAAGGCAAAGTGACACCTGTTACATGGCAAGCTCCAAAAAGGCAGCCTTTTTCTTTTTGAGATGACAGGAAGGAAAATGAAGTCTGCTTCTTTTGCTGTTCTATCTTAACTGTTAACACCCCTACCTTGACAGCAACCCTCCCACAGCTGCAAGCGTGGTGGGACAGGAACCACAGAAGGTCGGTGGGGAGGCTGTAGTGTAGCAGAGGGGCCCTGCCAGACCCTGCTCACTTGCTTCAGGTCATGGTTCCTGACCTGTGACCTGGGCAGCCCCCATCAGGGCTGACGGAGCCACAGTAAGCCAGCAGCGCAAGGGGAGAATGGGGGCTTAGACTCCCAGGAAGGGAGTGTGAACTGGCAACTTGTGTAAGAAGCAGAGGGCCTCAGGCACTGAGGGCCAGAGACAGGGACAGCCAGGGACAGAAGACAGCTGGAGGGCGAGGTCTAGGAGACATCGAGAGTTTGTGTTCAAGGAAGCAGGAGGGACATGCATTGGCTAGGGTTCCACTCTGAATCTGCACTCCCAAAGTACCTTCATGACAGGCTGGGCAAAATATCGGGCACTCCAGTCGCAGAACCCTGTCTGCATCGTGGCGGAGATGAAGCTTTTGTGTCCAGTAGTGTCATCTGCATCATCCGCAGTCTTTGGAAGGTTTGGATCGAGGATTAGAAGGAAAAAGAAACAACAGTCAGGCATGTTATTTATTCCCAGTGCTTCTTTGTATGCCTCAAAGAGCTCACAACAGGCACAAAGTCATCCTGGTTAGCAACGGCCTGGCTTCTTGGGACAGCCATGTCTGCATTCTGGTGACCAAAAAGCCCCAAATGCCTGAAAAGGGATCAAGGGAGCCCCAGCTCAGAAGTGCCATCCATGTCGTGCTCAGTAACAGTGTCTGCCCTTGTCTCTTGGGCTGGCCAGCACGACTTGGCCTGTAAACCCATGTTCCCTTCCCCCAGCCAATTCCAGCTGACTCTTTAGACAGGGCCCATGTGGGTCCACAAGGCCAGTTCACCAACCCTGAAGAGCCTCTGTTGCCCAGTCCTGGAGCTGCACCCCCAGAGGCGACACAGCTTAGGGCTGAGAACAGGGCTCCTTGTGCAGGATGGCCCCGGACACAGAGCACAGCTAGCATGAGCTGGCTAGGGCCTCTTAAGACAGAAGACCCTAGCAGTTGCTTAGGACTGTGCTTTGGCTGTTTCCCAGTATGGGACCTGCAGTGGCCAAGGCTGTCAGAGTCAATATTTACTTTGCTCAGTGAGAATGGGCATGGAGGTTCCCTTGTGCCATGTCACCCACTCAGGGAGGGCCTGAAGGCATCCCTCATGTTGCGCCTTGGCAGAGGGAAGCTCCCCATCATCTGGGGGCAGATACAGCAATCTCTCCCCGAGGCAGTTGCTCTGGCTTGACAGTGGGACCATGGCCAAGGGCAGTCAGGTGGGGTAACTGCACATGCTGGCTGCCAACTGTGCTGCTTCCCTGGACCATGGTCTCCTTCTCTCCCATGTCTGGCCCTCCTGCCTGGCTCAGGACCCAGGCAGGAGGCTACACCTTCGCTTGGAGTTTGTTGGTAATTCTTGCTCCTTCCCTATCGAGGAATAGAGAGAGTGGGGTTGGGGCTGAATGGCATCTGTAGGAACTTGCCCAGCTGCCACGGTGCCCCTTCTATCACCAACATGTTGACTCTTGCTCCAATGGCACTCTGCAAGGTGGCTAAGTAACCTCTTTTTTAAAATTACTGGATTATAAAGTGAACCATCGCATCCCCCTCTGCTGTAGGGAGTTCCTCACTGCTATTGGTGCCCGAGGCAGTCAGGGGTGCTTGGCTCACCCTGAACCACTTTCTTTAGACTTCATGCCATTGACCGAGACAGTGGCAAACATCTAGATGAGACAGCAGAAGTTTCCAGATCAGTGGCTGTCTTACCAGTTCTCACAACCCTGGCAAACAAAAGTACAAATTCCTCTCTCCTGAAATTTCTTTTTCAACTTAAAGGCAAAGAGAGTGTTCATATTTATGTAGTGTGATTGGATGTCTACAGAAAAAACAAACAACCACTCAGAAAAAACCCTCTAGAGCAGCTGCCACATCAAATTGAAGCAAGATACTATTTGCCCAAAAAGAAAGAAAAGCAAATTAATTCATATCCTTATTTTGTTACATGGACATTGTCAAGAACGGTGAACCCAGACATACACCCCTACAATAATCATAAAGAGGCAGCCATGCAGACAGGGGCGAGGGAATGAGGGGCCAGCACCCAGGTCTCCAGGGGCAGAGACTGGCACAAGGGCCAAGGGGAAGGATCTTTCTTCCACTCTGAGGTGACATAAATGATCCAGATCCAAGGTCTCACGCCCCACATCTGGGAAGCAATGCTCTCGGCATCCAGCTCAGTAGATTGCATATTTACAGATCACACAGTGTTTTGAGTCTCTGTACCTGGTCTGGGCCTTTGTCGAACATCTTCCGTGTGCGGGGGAACTGGTGGGAGTGGGGGGTGTACTGTGCCCCCATGGGGCCTGTGGTGCCTGGCCGGCCGGAAGGCAGGTCTCGGCTGACTGGCTGCTTGACCACGTCGTTGGTCAGGCTGGAGCTGCTTGTGCTGGATGTCGGCGGGGAGCCTCTGCCACGGGGAGAAGAATAAACGCCACATTCTTCCAAGAGTCTGGCACTTCGAGAAGAAACACTAGACAACTTCTAGTACCACCCACCTCAGCCAGAGGATGCTGATGGCCCTAAGAACTCCCTCAAATGCCCTACATAGCAGTGTGACTCCCAAATCTCAACTACTGATGCTGAGTTAACAACTGCTCTAGCTATGTGCCTGGTGGTATCTAAGAACTGACTTTCAATAAACATAGATGCCCCAAGAGGTCAGCTAGGACAGGACTCACAATCCAGCTCAGAGCCAGGTGGGCCAGGACGAGTCAGTGGCATGCGTCTGCCCTACTTGAGTCCTGTGCATGGTCATACTGCTTTCTGCGGTGTAAACACTGATGTAACAGAGGAAAGTCCATCTGTTGGTCACCTTAAAGAATTTAGTTTCTCTCTTACACAATTCTGAAAGACCACAGACTCATGCTTAGTTCAACTTTTGCTGTTATGATATGTGCAAATGAAGGATTCCTCAAGACGGGGAAGAATTCTAGGAAGGATCTCAGGTCAGACAGATACAGGGTGAGTGTGAGAAAGACAGGGGTGGGAGGGAGAGAAAAAGAGGAGGAGAGAAAGGAGGAGGGAGAGAGGAAAAGAAAGAAAGAGAAAGAGAGGGTGGGAGAGAACACATACATGCTAGAAGGAGAAAAGAAGAGGGAAATCAATGAGGAAAGAGAGAGCAAGGAGACTGGCAGTAACAGAGAGTTAAGTGAGTGGGATCCCCTCCAGTCACCATGACAGACCTGTGTAGATGAGCTTGTTGGCAGGTGGGATGTGGGCTACTTACCCCACCTGGTGGATATGTGTACCCTTGTTGGTCGGGCTGGCGGGGGCTGACTGTGTGAGAGAAGAGGTGTCCAGGATGCGCTGGGGCCGGGCATTCACCGTGGCCTGAGGAGCAAAGGCACAAGGGAGTGGAAGGTCAGGTGGGGATGACCTCTGCTGAGGCTACAAGGCAGAAGTACAAGGTAGGTAGTTGCTTTCGAATAGCTTCAAAATTGCAGAAAAGGGCTTTTAGCTGAGGAAAGCTCAAACACCAGTGGAAAGTTCCAGTTGAACTTTTTCCCCAAGTGAAACCCTGAAGATAAATGAGATTCTTTTACTCTTCTAGAAATATTTCACCTAGGTTCAGTGCGGCCAGAGGGATGGCTGTCTCTGAGGTGTGAGGAGGAATCTCTGCCCCTGGTTCTTGAGGAGTCAAGACTTGAGGCACTTGTTTAGGAAGATAGCAACCATCACACTTCCTTCCTTTAAAAAAGAACCACTTCTGGGGGCCAATCTTCACCGTCTTCCCCTTTGCCTGAGAGGTCGAGCCTCCATACCACTTTGGCTTTGAGTTCAATCCTCTCAAACTCTTCAGCTCTCAGTTGAGAGTCTGTGTGTTGGGGCCCGGAAGGATCACCCATGTGCTCTCTGAGGACTGGGGTGGCCCTGGCAGGAACATTAGTTCAGGGTTAGAAAGTACTTTACCAATCAGGTGGTCACTAGGATGGAAAGTCATCAGAAGCAGCCCAAGGACCATAATCGTGCAATTGTTTACGCCCCTCTCTGAATTCCTGGAGAAGCTGGTGAAAACCTTCCAGGGATATGGGGGAGGGGAAGGGGAAAACTACAGAGGGTCTGGGCTTTTCTCCAGTGGCAAAACAGGCTCTGTTATCCTGGGCTGATATGGGACCAGATAACTGAGGACTGTCCTAAACACCATCCTAGTAGAGGAGCTGGCACGCTGTGTGGATGTGAGGCATTCATCTCTGGGGCAGGGATGGCTCTGAAATTTGCCCTGTGGGGAGGACAGGCTGGCGGGGGATTGTGGGGGAGGGGGCAGCTGCCCATGGTGGTGGGGGAGGCAGGGCAGCAGTCAAACCAGCAGTTGGCAGTCCTGACACAACTACCCACACAGGCAGTGCCTCTAAAGATCAGTCACCCTACTCAAGGGAAGAATACCACTAGTCTTTGCTTTTATTTTTCATATTTCAGGGCCAGGCTCAAAACAATCCCTTTCAATGCAGCACTCTGTGGATGGAGACAAGATCGTAGGTTCTGTAAACATCCTGCCACAAACATTCGCAGGGCTTGAAATTCTACACAGAAAAAGATGTGTACCAGCTTGAGACTTGGCGTCCAGGAGGGAAGTGGTTTTGTTTGGATTTTTTAAAAGTAGGATTTTATGTAGATTTGGAAACCAGCTGTCTGTTGAAGTAATAAATGTGAGGGAACAATGGCACATGAATGATCACTGCTCATCTGTTGGCAAAACTTCCCACTTGCCAAGTTGGTTTTGGGCCGTTTTGCTCTGAGCACCCAGCACAGCAGGTGGGGCCAGGGTTCTGTTGGGTTCTAGACCCCAAAGATAGTGCACATCCAGAAGGGCCTGATGATGGCGAGAGGCATCCTCCTCTATGTCAGAAGGATAGGCCCAGCAGCTCCACTAGGTAGCCACTGATGCCTCAGCCAAGAGTCATTCATTCCCCAAGCACCAGCCCATTGGTTCTAAGGCATGGGCAGCACTCTGAGCCAGACAAAACCTCGATCTGCAAGAGTTTATGCCTGAGGGGAGCCCTGCACCGGCCTCACATCTTTTAATTATTCACTTAGAAGTTAGGAACCTTGTACCTACAATTCAGTCAACAGATAGAAAATTAAAGAAAACCAAACAATCATAAAAGTCCTCATTATATAACATCAACATTTTCCTGATAATCCTTTTACTTTACGATGAAAATAGCAAGAAAATGGAACCGCAGTCTTTAAACAATGTTTCTATTTTACAAGAGTAATACATGTTCTGTATGAACTTGTTTTTGCCTTGGTACTTAAATTATTTGGCCAACCCTCCATACTCACACACTCCCCCCCCCCCCACAAAACCTGAGAGCCATAAGATCCCTTAAAAAAAATCCCTAAAGAGAGAAACGAAATGTGAACTTAAAAAACTATAAACTTAATATATGCCTTCTCAAAATTTCTGGAAAAACAGTGGGAGGTGATGGGGAAGATAGAAAACTTTTGGGATTGAAATAAAGCCTCAGCAAACCCACAGCGCTTTCAGATGCTTACGGAGCACAAAGGCTCAGCACTACCTGGCTGTCACTGGTGACTCAGGAGCCCCCAGGGCATCCCACTCTGGCTGTGGGTCTGCACAGTCCCCTGCCACCCTTGACAGAGGTGTCAGTGGGAAGCAGCAGTGGAGCAGCAGGAGCCATGGCAATGAACTCAGCTCACTCTTTGGGATAGGGAACTGATCAGCCCTGGGCTTGACTATGTGCAGCCTGGAGGCAAATAAGACAGCCCACTTTATGTGATTTATACCTATGGCTATTGCCACGAAACTCTGATTTTATATCATTTCTGGAAATCCTGAGAGAGATGGGCAGGTACTGGCTGGGAGATTTTCATGATGAGCACTAGTGGTCAGAGGGTGTTGGGTTTAGATGGTGCAGTCTTTAGTAGAACACTTCCTATTTGTTTAACAAACATTTGTTCTGTTGTAGCTGTTATGTGCTGGGTGTGGGGTCACGATGGTGAACGTGAGCAGAGTGTCCCCTAGGGAGGTGACCAGGCAAACCTGCCTGTCTACACCATCTGTGTGAGAACAGAGGATACTCAGAGAGCAAGGGTTGCAGGTGGCATGGCAGGGGGGAGGGAGGAGAAGGGGAGGCAGCAGAGACTCTAGGGAGAAATCTTTCTGAATGGTTCCTGCCACTATCTTAAATGGAGAGCATCCCACCAGGAAAAGTTAACAGAAAAATCACAGCATGATTGTAAATGTTGGGGCGCGGGATTACAAATTGCAGAGGACCAAGTGGGGGCCTATAGACCTCAGCATCCTGCATGGGCCCTGAGCAGCCTTAAGGATATACAGCTCTTCATGGCCATGTGCCTGTACCCCCACTTCACTTACAGCCTGCAAAAAAAATCACTGGACGTGCAAACTTTCCCTGTTGGAAGGTCTGAGAGAAGGTTCCTGGCTGCTAGTGGGTCTGAGTCCAGAGAGAAGCAGCAGCGAGAAAGTCGAGGACATGGCTACAAGACAGTACCTTTCTTCCACTCTCCAAGCTAGCTTTCAGAGGCAGCAAACACAATTTTGTTAACAGTCAAATTCTCAGCTCAGACACTTCAGAGTCCAACATAAACATAACCATTTTCTGTGAGGATGGACATGTGTGTCAATTACCCACCACTGTCCGGGTACAATTCATGGAGCCAGGCCTGGAATGAGACCCACTCTTCCTCCTGGTCCCAAAGTGTTCTTCAACTGAAATATATCATCTTACAAAGATACAGGAAAGTTTGATTCAATGCAAAGAAATATACTGTAAAGACATTTCACAGTAGAGACTTGGACAGTAAATTTCCCAACTGGATCTTGGTATAGTCAGGGTTTGGGACAACAATGTAAGCTTCTGGCTGCTCTATCTTGGGAGGAAGTACAATATTTCACTGTGTGTTCCTGTTAATTTTATATCAAGGATCTGGATTCATGTGTGAGAAACTCTTAAAAAGGGATTCCCAAAGGATGAGCCAGAGGTAATTTGTGGCTAAGTATAATGCAGAGGCCGCTGGTTGCTTGATAATCGAGAAGAGATACCTGTAAAAGCACCTGCTTCTATTTCTCTATAAGTAATTTTCCTGCCAAGTGCATTTAATAGGTAAATAATATAAATTTTTCTCTGGAAAAGTCCTAGGTATTATTCAGTTAAAACAACATGGAGACTTTAATTGCCTGCTAGTTACAAACAAAGCCTTGGGAAAGTCTCCCCCTGGGTCATGGTGCTCAGCCCAGGGAAGAGCTCCCTATGGGCAGAGGCCGAGGAATCTCACCCTGCCCACTTCCTCCTCCCAGGACCTGGGCACAGGGAAGGGCTCAGGGGTTCCTCCTGGATTTGCTAGGGCTCCACCTCCACAGAGGAGAGTGCTGATGGTGAAGAAGAAGATGACAACACTCACACCAATGCTGACAAAAGTGGCTCATCTTGTGCAGTTCTCTCCCCACAGGACCAACCACAGTGACAATAGTTTTACAGGCTCCTGCATTTCATCCTCACAACTCTTGGAGTTAGGTCCTACAACATCTCAGTTTTGCAGATGAAGAAATGCAAGCTGGGAGGTATGAAGTAACTGGCCAAAGGCCAGCAGGGCCAGAACTGGACACATGACCAAAGCTGGCATTGTCCTCACTTGCAGGGAGCCATGGGCCCCAGGACCATGCTAGTACCTTGTGGTCATGAATCCCCATGTGGGCTCTCATGAGGGTGGCAGCTCCCCATGAGTTGCACAGCCGAGTCTCAGTGAGAACAGATTCTTGGCTGCCACCCCAGAGCCATGGAGCCCGAATCTCCAGGGGAGGGTACTGAGCTCCTTTGTCTAGACTGGCTCTCCAGGGGGCGCTTCTAAGCTGGCTGGGCAGGGGCCCATGGCCAGTGTTTAGAAGTGTGAGTCTCAAGCAGGCCAGCGTCTACTTCTGTAGCCAGGCTAGTCCAAGCTGATGATGTCCTTGTCTCTGAGTCTGCAGCTAGGGAAATAAGCACGTGTCTGAAAAGTTTTCAGACTCTAGACACTCATGCTTCTAAGGTATGAACAAATATGCTAGAATGCCATGTTCCCAGAGATGGCTGTTCTGATAATCCTGAGCATCCCTTCTCTGGGTAGAGTTGTGAGAACAAAGGAGACGGGTAAGGCAAATGCTGGCTGAGGATGCAGAGAGGGTGGAGACCCAAGACTCGGTGGGAGAGGCAGTCGGACACTTCCTCACAGCAGACATCGGAGGGACCGTTAGCTGAGGGTCTTCAGGGGTCAGAAGTGCAACTCATGTTTCCTGGATGAGGGGCCCCAAGCTAGAAGGGAGCCTAAAGGTTCCAAAGAGCTAATGGAGACTGCATGGTGCAGTTTTGAAGGGAGGATGGTAGTGACAATAGAGAATCCTCTGACTCAGTTAAGTAGGTGCCATTTGACTAGATCAAAAAAATATCAGAATGTTTATATGCACATTGACTGAGATTGCTGAAAGAGAAACTTAAAAGGTACCTGTAAAGAGAATTTCAGCAACTTCAGATGCATGGCACTACTTGGCCTAGAGGCTAATTGTAAACTTGCTGAAACTTATGATTCAGCCAGTTTGAAGGAAACGTGGGTTAGGGATGAACAGAACCGGCCCCCTGGATTCTAACAGACACTGTTAAGTAGGAGAAGGAGAAAATTCCAGCACAACAATAGGATTTTAAAAGAAACATATTGGTAAGTAACCCTGCTATGAAAATATGAAGCTGGGTACTCATCACAAGTTTAATGGTAATTTTGAATAAACTTTTCTGGTATCTCAACCTTTATTTTCTTTATAGTTATTAGGCTTTTGTTTCATAATAGATCACTCTACTTTTTTTTTTTTTAAAGAAGGATTTATTGAGAAAAGCTCCTACAGTGGGAGGGGACCCGAAGGGGTTGCCTGATCACTTTACTTTTAATTAGGTAAGTTAATGTCTCAGTTTCAACATGTCTGTTTGTACAAGTACTGCAGCAGAAGCAGCAGTCAGTGCTCTGGCTCCTAAAAGTATCAAGAGGCTGCAGCAATATTTTTAGGTGAGTTTATGCTCGTGAATTTTCTCATAAATATTAAAATAAGCAGTGATTGTGAATACATGTGGCCCTGACACTTGAACACCTTCGCTCAAAGTTTCTTTCTCAGTGTGATCCTAAAACCCTGACGGTAGGAGTGGTCCTGAGGTGAGAGCTGCTAGGGCCGAAGACAGGCTCCTGAGCGTCGTCCGTCTCTTCACTCTACTTCTTTTTTTTTTCTTTTTTGAGTTGGAATCTCACTCTGTCGCCCAGTCTGGAGTGCAGTGGCCACTCCTGGCCACCGTAGCCTTGACCTGCTGGGCTCCGGTGATTCTTTCAAGTAGCTGAACTACAGGTGCGCGCTACCACGCTTGGCTAATTTTTTTGATTTATTGTAGAGATGAGGTCTCACCAAATTGCCCAGGTGGGTCTCGAACCCATGGGTTCAGGCAATTCACTCACCTTGGCCTCCCAAAGCACGTGATTACAGGCTGAGCCACCGAGCCTGGCCTCTTCTTTCTACTTCTATGTGGTTTGAAATTTTCCTTAATAAAAACTAAAAGCAAAGCAAAAACTCCAAGTCTATGGAATGGGGATATAAACACATGAAATTAGACTATAGCTCTTGAGCTGTGTGGGTTTTTTTATACAGAGCTGGTAGCAATTTCTATATTTGCATATAGAATTCTACAGGGCATTCCATAGTAATAAGGCTGTTTTTGACTCTGATGAACAAAAATTTGGCTTCAGAGTTAAATATCTAAAATAGGCTCATTTCTCTGTAAAATGAAACGTAATCCCCTCAGTTCTCAGAGCAGGAAAATAAGGCATTTCTTGAATTTAAAATGAGGACAGGAAAGAATTTCCTTAATGTTTATGCTTCCAAATCCTTCAGTAGCAATGTTTATTCTTAAAAACAAACACAACCATCTACACATACATACACTCATACACACACATAGACATAGGCACAGACTCACTTACAGATACACAGACATATATATATATATATATACACATAGACACAGACACACCAAGATAAAGACATACAAAGACACACATATATACACTCACACACAGACAGACACACACATATACAACACAGATATACACTTATAGACACACACATATATATACACTCACACATACATAGAGATATACACTGCATTCTGCTATGCCAAGGTCTCCAAAAGAGCTCTTCTCTGAGGTTGGGTTCATACCTATAAACCCCAGCACTTTGGGAGACCGAGGTGGGAAGATTACTTAAGCCCAGGAGTTTGGGACCAATATAGGCAATATAATAATATCTCGTCTCTCTCTCTCTCTCTCTTTTTGAAAACAGGCTTTATTGAGAGGACAGAAAAGCTCTCACAGTGGGAGGGGACCCGAGGGGGTTGTCCAGATCGTGTATCTTAAAAAATTTTTTTAAAAATTAGCTGGGCATGGTGGTGCACATCTGTGGTCTCTGCTACTTGGGAGGCTGAGGTAGAAGGATTGCTTGAACCCAAGATGTCAAGGCTGTGGTAAGCGTTGGCCTCCAACTGTGTGGTCAGGCCAGGGCAAGGGCAGTCTGTGGCCATAGGTTGTTCCATGCCCCAAAGAGTAAAGACGAGGCTACCAGAGATTCTTGTGTATCAGAGATCTGCAGGCAAAGATGGTGAACTGGTCAGTTTCTACTTTCTTTGAATATAAATTCTAAAAATTTCAGTCATTCATTAAAGTTCACACAAAGCTTGTAAAATTATTTAAGTGAAAAGATTATTTAAAGCTCAATCTTAAAATTCTAAATTAAAATTGGGAGAGGCTATTTAGAGCCTGAAAGAGCAGTGGTAAACGGTAAGAACAGATTTTCCCTAATACATAGCAGGTAATTATGACTATTTTAGCCCTGGACCCACCAGAACCTCAGCCCGTCTCTGAGCATGGCTCAGAACCTGCTGCACTAGCTTGGGGAATTCTGCAGGGGGTTTTCTTGGGAGTGCTTGTGAGGTCTTCCAACTTTCTTTTCCTCCTTATTTCCTTCCTATTTGCTTACTTCCTTCCTCTTTGGTCTCAGACCATAATACACACACACACACACACACACACACACATATCTATATCTATATGTATATCTATTTAAGCTTTATTTTTGTATTGATCCTGCTTTAGCTGAAAAAGCAGATGATTGGATTACATCTTGCTTTTCTATTATACAATGAAACTTCATTGACCGGCTATTTTCAGTAGGCCAGTGACACATAAAAGATATTTGGGAAGATTGCCCACTTCTTGTCAGGTGCCCATGTACCCAGTGGTGATGAAGGAAGTGGTGCATTCCACTGAGTGGAGGGGAGGTCAGTGCAGAATTAATCAATTTTTATCTTTCTGAGTTGGCCAATAGGCTATCTGTTACTATTACTTGTGATACTACCAAGAACTGCACGAAGCAGCAACTGCAGACAATGAGGTGATTTCAGTCTGTCAGGAATAAGACTTATTAGATCAACAGAAAATAACTTAGGTGAAGGAATCGAATGCCATGCAAATATGCTATCAACAAAAAGGAGGTGAGGAACTGTAGGAACTTCTGGCTTGATAAGAGGCCAAGACAAAGAAGGCCATAGCAAATGAGAGGGAGGAGGGCCTGATAACTTATTTGGAAAAAACAATGGACTAGGACAGATCCTAGACCCTCCAGACTCTGGTAGTAATGATAGCCTGAGACAACTCTTCCATTGTGGCTGGGCCAAATGAGGGCTGAGAGAACACACCAGCTTACTTAGGTGTGTTCTCTTTCCTTGTATTCTTTTTGCAACTTTTCTGTAAGCTTGAGATATTTCAAAAAGTTACAAAAAATTAATTAAATGCTATAATAAATAACATCTAGTTCCATTCATGAAAGATTAACTGTCAGGTAAATAATCCAACTTCTACAAACAACTAGAAAACCAGAAAAGTATGCAAAACAATTGTTTTCAGACATTGGATATTGGATACTATGGGACTGTGATCCCCAAGATAAGGGAAATAAACAACTGTCCCAACTTATGGCCTACAAGCAGGTTCCAATAAGAAAGTCTGAGGCAGACCCAGGCTGTAGCACATATAGAGGCCGGTGCTTTCAGTGAGTAGGAGACACAGATCAGAGATCAAGGGAGGTTGAGGTGGCTGGAATTTGCAAGGCAGAGCACTGGAGAGAAGTGAGCTTCTGAGGTCTGCAGGGGAGGCCTCTGGAGTCTTTGGGTACTAATTTGCTCATGGATGGAGGGAAAACCCATGAGGCTGGGGAAAAAACAACCAGAAGGCAGTAGGCCAAATTCTCAGAGCTCACAAAAAGGACTGAGATGAGTTTACATTCCCCAAAGAATAAAATCAATGACCTAAGCTTCTACCTTAAGAAACTAGAATAAGAAGAACAAGTTAAAACCAGAGTAAGCAGAAGAAAGGAAGCAGTAAAGATAAAACCATCTAGCAATAGAATGGAAAGAGGACAAACTACACAGAAAAACCAATAAGAACAAAAGCTGATTCTTTGAAAAGTTTTCTTTAGCCAGACTCTTCATGAATAAGAGCAGTCATAAATTACCCCATCAGAAATGAAAGAAGGAACATCACTATAGCTCACACAGGCATTAAGGGGATCATGAAAAGTAATGACAATCCTAACCTCATTACCTTGATCTGAGTAAGTAAACACAGCAAAGTGTGTCTCAATTGAAGCCATATATATATAGTTCAGGGTATATTGTAAATCTCCAGATTCAAAACGTGTGTTGAAAGTTCAGTTTATTTATTTATTTTCTAAACCATGGTGTAGACCTGAATATGTCTGTAGTTCCTTGCTTGAATATTCATAACTAAAAATCAGAAACTCAAGAGCTTCAATGAAAACAACTCATCACACATACCTTGTAGGCGATACTGTTGAGCACCTTCATGGCCAAATCAGAAACATCTGGATAAGGATCAGCAGCCAGATGCAATAAGACTCTCCAAATTTGAGTGTAAACACTATTAAAAGAAACTCCTAGAAAACAGAAATGGGAGATGTTTTAGTTGCAAATAGCTATCACTGCACACTTCAGCAGCTTCTGAGGTGGTTCCATTTTCTGAAAACCTAACCATGGAATCAGGAAGTGTTACTTTCAAGAGTTGGAGTTACAGGAAGTTCCCCATTTTGGTATGCTAGCAATGGGCCCAGAGATTCAAGTATCTCAGTTGGTAAATAGGCTTGATCACATTGATTTCATCTTCTGAAGTTGAATCTTTCTAAGAGGAAAACTGAGTTAGAAAAGGGCAAAACTTCCACTGGAAATGTCTTAGCTGATTGGTAGTAGTGCTCAGCTCCCAAAGTAGCATCTAATCTAGTGTTCTAGATTTCCAGGAGCTGCTGTGGCTTACAGTGAGAGGTGCATGTGGGATGAATATATCTGTTCCGATCTCGCTCTATACTCAGTGTGTCTTACTGGGCACTGCGACTCACTGGGCTTTGCCTGCCAGCTTCCATGCACTCACTGTTCACAGATCCTAGGAATTCACAAAAGGTTTATGTGAAGTGACTTCTGTCTCCCAACTCATTTAACAAACACTTGATGCAAGGTCTTGTGCTACATGCCCGGATATAAAGACAGAAAAGACAGGGCCCAGTGGAGACTCAGACATGAATATATAACAATGGCAAATTGTGGGCATGAAGGGAAGAAAAGGAATAAGTGCTGAAGGTCTTCATCAGTGAAGGTTGCTTAGTCCTGTTTAATTCCTCAGTACCCTAAAGGCAGGTATTGCCCCTGGCATTACAGAGGAGGGTAAGACCCAGAGAGCACTTCTGTCAAGGCCCAAAGGATGAAGGATGCTAACACACACCTGCCAGACCGTCAAGTCAAGTTACTTCCACAGCACTGTGCTGCCTCGGGGAGATGCAGTAACGGGTGAGTGATTTTCTCCATTAGGCATGGGCTGGGAGGTGAAGGCCATGAAGACCTGATGGAAGAGGCACAAAGGAGACAGGCTTTGGAAGGCACGTAGGATCATTCTCCTGGTACTGAAGGGGTGGAGTGAAAGTAGGCAGCACAAACAAGATCTAGGACACAGAGGTGATGGAGACGCCCAGAGCCTTTGGGAACACTTGAATGAAATCCATATAAACAAATCAGAGATAACATGGTGCAGTGAGTACCTAGAAGCCAAAAGGAGAAGTGCGCACCAGGGCTGAGCAACTCCCAAGGCTGAAGCAAGAGTGGAGGCTGCTAAGTGGAGGGGTTGTGGAACTGGAATCCCTGCCACAGCGGACCCACAGAGGCAGAGAAGGGAAAAGGTGATCCTTTTAGAGGCAGCAACTGGAACAAAGGTTGGGCAGAAGACAAGAGGTGCCAAGCACAGAGAGTTGAGCAGGGGCCAATGGCACTCTCCCTGTCCTAAGGTTGCTGGGAGTGCCAGTTTCCTGCTGGGCTCTGTCCTGGAGGCAGGAGACAGACATGACCCTGCTTTCAGGGGCTGGGAGTCAAATGGTGAGATTGCCACATAGAACTCCATCTTTTCTACTTTGGGGAAGCTAGATAATTTGCTGAAAAGCAAGCACTTGTTCAACAACAAAGAGATTAAAACAGGATTTGAAACAAGGCATGATTCCATGTCACTTGATTGGCCAGCTCCTGGTGAATTCCCCCTAATGTTTATGAAGAAGTTTAAATATCAGAAGCGCTATTAGAGGTTAAAGTGTTTCTTGATGAACCCCATTATTCATATGGAGTGGGTTTTATATGACACAATAAAGTCCAAAGAAAAGGGGCTGGATAAGGTTTGATGTAAAAGTTAATCACGTGCATGAGTTCTGCACAGATGCATGTGACACTGGCCCACCCTAACCCACACCCTCTGATTTGCTTTTGTGAATGTGAGTTTGTATTTATCCTGAACAGAGCCTGCCCTGTTGCACACACCCCCACACTGTGAGCAACGCAGAGGTCAAGAAAGTCCTGCACTCCTGGCTCCCATGTGTGCCGTCCCCTTCCGAGGGGACCACTGTGAGGAACAGATGCACTGAGAGGCTGGGACCTTTCCCTGGGGGCTGATACGTCCCATAGCTGCAGGGTGACTTGATGTCCTACAACTAGAGGAAATGTTTTCCCAGAGAAATGTCCTCTTGGTGTCTTGGCCCATGCATATTTGAGCTCAGCAAACACTCCTGAGGGCCTGCTCTGTGCTAGGGCCTGCTCACATGCCTCAGTTCAGGAAGAGTCAGGGAGGGGCAGCTTCCAGGAGCCTTAGGTTTGATGCAAATGAGGACATCTGTTAGATGAAATGTCCTGCAAATCCACCCTGGTTTGCAGGAAGACCCAAGGTAGTGCGGACCATCCACATGAAAACAACTACACCCTTTCCCACCTACTGTACCGCACTGCTTAAATTTAGAAACAGAACAAAAGTCTTTCAGCTCCCAATTCTATGGCTTTCAGACAGCTGTCTAGATTTACAACCTAAGTTGAAGGAAATTGTTTGGCAAGATTAGTCCAGGATCCTTTTGGTAAAATGTTCTAAAATCTCCTTTTTATCCTGGCAGACACCTGTTAACAGAAACTGTGCTCCCTGCTACAAAGGGGCTACCAGGCAATGGCTGCATTTTCAGTTCTTTTAAAGAAAAGGATGGTGGGCAGGAAGAGATGACTTCAAATTCACTCTCACGACAGGTCCGACTTATGACAAATGAGAAGGAAAAACACAGCCTTGCTCACAAAGGAGAACCAGTCCTGAATCCAGCTTTGTGACCCCTCTTCCCACAGACCCACAGGAAGCTCTCACAAAAGCCTTAAGTTCATCACAGCTCCTGCTCAACATCCTTCCCCTTGATTATTCTGGGCTTATAGGCTCCCTGCAGCTGAGTGATGCATCGATGCAGCTCCCCATGAAGCTCGGCTGCCTATGACGTGGAGCTGTGAGGGACGGTGATACTGGCTGGTGGGCCCAGCCAGATTCAGATGACTAGCCCTTGTAAGACATGAGGAGTAGGGACAAGAAGAAAGGACACAGGAAAAGGGAGGATGTCAGAGCGAACACCTGTTTGGAAGCAGGCTGCTAGTAAGCACCTGTTATCAGTCCAATAACCTATGACATAGATGAGGAACAAGAGCCTCACTGAGTGGGGTCTTCAAGGTAAGAATGAGGAACGGACACAGGCTGGTCCTTCCATGGGTGAGGCTTCACCATAAAGGGGAGTGACAGATACAGACGCCTGGGGGGTCAAACATCCCCCAAGAAAGGGCTTGGCTCCATGTGGGCACCAAGGAGGGTGATACATGTTAGCTATTACTATCATGTAATTTTTTAAAATTTATTTTTATTACAGTTAGCCCTCTGTATCCATGAGTTCCATATCTGTGGGGTCAATCAATCACAGATAAAAAATATTTGGAGAAAACTCTCAAAATAATACAAATAAAAACAATAACAGTTATTTTTACAGCATTTACACTATATTAGGAATTACCTGTAATCTAGAGATGAGTTAAAGTACATGGAAAGATATGCAGGTTATATGCGTATACTACACCATGTCATATCAGGGACAAGTATCCATGGATTTTGGTGTCCTTGGGGGTCCTGGAACCCATCTCTATGCACACAGAGGGATGACTGTACTGCTGTTGACTTTTCTGCAGATTTCGACTTTGATATAATACTATTCGTGACTCAGCAAGGAAAAAAAAATCTAATTTTTGTCAGTCTCTTTAACTACAATGGATGGTGTAGCTATTTACCAGTGAAATATAAAGCTGTGATAATGGAATTGCTATCTTGACTTCACTTCCTTCCTTGGTTGGCCACAATAGTCTTTCAGCTCCCTGTTAGATGAACTCCCCTGCTTTTAAATCTGCTATCTGCAGAGCAGAATGTAGCCATCCTCACATATGGATGTGAGTCTGCCAGTAAGAGGCAGGAACACCAGTCCCATCCCTGCAAAGAGAGCCAGGAGCCAGAGGCTTTGCACTGTTAGATGCTTAGAAAGGGCTCCTGTTGGCACCAGCTGAACTCCCCAGAAGTGCAGAGAACCTATTTTCATGTCTAGACTAAAAGTAATAAAAGAGCATAATGAATGGTTTTAGAATTTATTTTTCAGAGCAATGGCCACAACTTTCTAAATGGTATACAAGGCAGGGAAATTGACTCTGAGCTTTGGGGCTGACTCTGAATCCCAGGAGTCCTGGGACTGGTGGAGCAGCATGGAGAAGAAGAGGGAGTCTCCTGAGAGGTGAGGGCTGCCAGCCACTACTTGAGGCTCGAGGGGTCAGCAGAGCAGGTCATGCCCTCTGATATGGCTGAGAGCTGTTGCCCATCTCCAGAAATCAGTGTCCCAGGCCTGAAGGGTCTGCATTTGTGACCCCTCCTGTCCTAGGTGCCTGAGGGTGACTTCTGTCTCCTCAGGGGCTGCACTCATGACTTGGGTGGCCTTTAGGAGAATCATGCCAACCACTTGCTCCGCCATCCCTTCCTCCCTGAATCCCGACACTGCCCGTAGTAAAGACACAGCACCTCCTGGGTGGGACAGTTGGTGCGCCTATATAATCCCTTCAGCGTGTTCCTCAATATCCCTACAAGACACACTTAATGATGGCCTTTAATCAAGGACTTTTGTTCTAAAAACATAATTAATCTTGTGGTACTGGGAAACAATGTTGTTCATTTTCTCACTACTCTCTTTTGGTGAGAAGAATTAATGGGTTGTAAAACCTTCCTTTCAAAACTTGCACAGTTCCTCTGGCAAAAACCTTGCTTTGCTTTCTTGTTGTTGACGAAGTGTTGGGTTTTTTTTTTTTGCAAAGGCAGAAACTGATATCCCCTGGACCCTGAAATTTAGAACCCAAGGCTTGGCTGGAACTCACTACCAAGAGGTCTTTGGAGCTGAGTGCAAGGCTTGCAAAGGACTCTTCTTTTAGTACTTCTTGAAGCCTTGGAAAAAAGTTAAATATAATCTTAATTTCTTGGGAGGCTGAGGTGGGAGGATCACTTGGCCAGGAGTTTGAGGTCTCAGTG